TTTTAATAGGAATATGACTTAATAGTGCTGAGCAGTGCATTCTCACTTAAAGTAGTATCCACTCCACGAACGAGACCTTTTTTTCTGTTAAATAATTTGGAATATATGCTATTAGATTATTTTTCTCAAAAAAATCTTCAGTAAATAACTTATTAGCAAAAGCACCTGAATCTACTTGGATTTTAATACGGTTTTTACATACACTAATAATTTCAATAATATTTTTATCATAATTGGATAACAAAAGTAGTTTCTCTCCAAGTTTCATTGGATGCAAACGACTTATATTTAAATTGATATGTTTAACAAATATAAAAAAAGGACCATTATAATTAGAATTAAATCGATTAGATGAATTAAATACCTGACTTTTTTGAATATTTGTTTTAGGTGAAGTTGATTGCAAGTTTTTGGTATCAATACTATTTTTAATATCATTCCTATCTATAAATTTAATGTCCTCTACACCAGGATCTGGTGGATCCTTCCCAGAGATACCATTTTTGCCCGCAGACATGACGGGACACGGCGTTTAACATATAACTTTATAAAAAATTTATAAAAAATTTCTACTTACAGTACAGGTGACAGAATACCAGAACTTAAAATATAAAGCAAAAAAAAAACAAAATCGCTAAACACCCTGTGTTATATCTTGAAACACACTTCTGCACTTCACAAGAGATCGGAATCTAATAAAAAAAGGCTTTAGAACTACTTAAATATACAAATTTTCCCGAGGAACTCTTAAACGCGTCCAAACACTTTGACAGTTATTTGACAGATGTATTGATGTTTTTGTCTATTTTTCCTTCGTTGCCTGGAGTAATTGGGTTAAATCATAATTATGCATTTAATCCGTAAAATGCGATTATCTCGAAAACTGTTGAGTTTTGAAGTTATTAACAGGTATAGCTTTCTTATGTTAAAATACTATATCTTTAATATATTTTCACAAAAACAGCACTAACTTAAAGAGCAAAAAATTTAAGCGCACGTGTATGCAAAATATATCTCATATGTGGTGCCCTCTATTAGTTACATTAAATTACAAAAATAGCATTAGAATTACAATTATTAGAATAGTACAATACTCAAGAGCACAAAGTTGTGAATTTTTATCGACATATGAAGACATATCGAAGACATGTGAAGACATATCGAGTGTCTGTCTTCTCCAGCCCTTCACTCCAATCTCCCTCAAATATTCCTGTACATCGTCCAAATATCTGAGTTTAGGTCGCCCCCTTTTTCTTCCGACCGGCCTGTTTAGCATAGTTATTTTAGTGGGATCACTCTCATCCATCCGCATAACGTGGCCCACCCATCTTAGGTGGTTTATTTTGATGGTCTTCACAATATCTTCATCACCAAAAAGTCTATAGACTTCAAAGTTATATCGCCTTCTCCACAGACCCTGTTCGTTTACTCCGCCATATATGGTCCTCAATACTTTTCTTTCAAAGACTCGTAGTAACTCTGCTTCTCGGGTCGTCATTGCCCATGTTTCCGATCCGTATGTGAGCACTGGGCGCATTATTGTTTTATAAAGTTTGCACTTTGTTGCTATTGACATACTTCTCGCTCTTAGTTGAGGGCTCAGGCCAAAATAACAGCGGTTAGCCACGCATATTCTTTTTTTTTATCTCGTTGGATGTGTTATTTTTGTAGTCTACCAGTGATCCTAAGTAGCAAAATTCTTCTACCATTTCTATCGTTTCGTGTTGCACCTCTAAGTTATTTTGTTGAATTCTTGATATGGCCGGCATATATTTAGTTTTCTGGATGTTAATCAGAAGTCCGATGTTTTCTGCGGCATTTTTGATACGTGTGAAAGCCTCCACTGCTTCATTTTGGGTTCTTCCAATTATGACGATATTTTTAGCGTATGCCATTATTTGTATACTACGGGTATATATCGTACCTTTAAAGTTTATTCCCGAATCTCTCATAACTTTTTCTAACGCTAGATTGAACAGCGTGCATGATAGCGCATCTCCCTGGCGCAGTACTCTGTTGGTTTTAAAGGGTTTTGAAACATCCCCTTGTACGCGCACTTTAAAGATCCGCAAATCGGATTATTACACGGCGATTGGCAACATTGTTACGCAAACAACATTGTTGCGAGAGAGTTAGTTGAACGATATTTTATACAATGTCTAAACCCAGGTATGGATTTATTTTTGTCCAAGTTTTATATTGGTCCACTATTTCAAATGCAGTTCAAACAGACATATTAAATTGTATGATCCTTTTTAAATTCGTTCAATCTGTATAGCTGGATATGATTATATCTTATATTCCATGTAAGGGAAGAAGTTTTTCAATTGTTAGTAAGCTATAAAGTATATATGAAAAAGTTGGCAACAAATGGGGAATTCCTTTAATATTAGTTTCATGAAAAAAACTATTCTTCGTAAAAATTTCTGCATTGCATAGAAATCAATACCTAATCAGTAATCAAATTTATAAAATTTTAAAGGCCGGTTGTCCGAACGCTAATCAAAACTTGATTGTAATCAAATATTAATTTACTGATTAATAACAAGCAAATACGTCACAGCAGCTGTCAAAATTATTTAAAATTGCTTATTATTATTGATTTGTAAATAAAAACATAAAATTAGTTTTCATAAGAAAGAGTTTAATTATGGTTTATTTTAAATTAAAACGCAAAATAATAAAATTTAATAAAATAAATCGGTCAACATAACCTCAAAATGTGACGTATTTGATTTTATCTAAATATTTGATTACGATCAAGTTTTGATTAGCGTTCGAACAACCAGTCCTTAGTGGTATAAATCGAAAATCAAAAATATTGATTTATGCTTAAAAGTGAAGTGCTTTTAAATTTAGGTACAGAACAAAATGTCATTTTAATTTGGTTGTAGGAAATAAAAATTATATTATTTAAATTTAGATTCATGACCTTTTAATGATATGTCAGTAGGTGCATTAATTTTTAATTTTATTTCTAATTTACCTTAATCAAAATAAACAAAATCAACAAATGCAAAAGTATTTTTTTAATTACTTTTTACTTTAAAAGTGTATTATTTAATTATTAAAAGACAATGAATCTAAACTTGGACATAATTTTTAATGCCTACAAACATTTTAAAATTACATTTTTTTGCATATCTAAATCACTTTTCTCTTCACTTTTCTCTTTAGTATTCCCTATCTACCACTTAATAATTTATAAGATTGTTGATTAATGATTTCTATGTGATGCACAATCTTTAATGAAGAATAATTTATTTTCATGAAAATATTAATAAAGAAATTCCCCATTTTTGCCAACTTTTTCAGACATGAAACGAGTAAATGGGTACTCACCGGAGGGACCGCAGACGTTCGGATATAATCAGCGTGTCTTTGTAAAGACAATAAAATCGACTTTACCATTGTAACAAGACATTTACTCAACACAGACACCACTCATTACTCCCCTGAGTTAGTGATAAGTTATATTATTATATGATTACATCACATATATATTATGTCAAATCTGTGTCTATCTATCTCTGTCGTCTCTTAAATTGAAGAAAATATTTTGTATAATATGTGTAATAAAATATGAATTCTCAGTTTTCATGATATGTGACACTGCATTTTTCCAACTATTCGCTTCAATGTTGAGTACTTCCCTTTCAATTATATGCAGAATAGATGGATTTAAATGTGGCGAAGTGTCATTTTGTCAAACTCCTGACTTACGTTGATGCCACGTATGTTAATATAATACGATTGGGTTAAATACATAATAATATGGCGGAAGCCCATCGAGCAAAAAGATAAAAGAGGGAATCTAATCGTTATGAAAAGGAGACCAAAAAAGTGGCCTCTGATGGCGGACATATCCGGAAATGCAAAGGCGCTAAATTTAAATTTTCCAACACTTATTAACAATAGCTATAAAATATTTTTCAGACGAGAAAGTTTTAATTAAATATTAACTATATTATTCTAAAAAGTGACACAATTGGTAAAAAACTTCAATATAAATAAAATTTCATGTGACAGTTGGGACAAACAATAACATAACCAAACTAAATTTGACTTCTCAAACAAGGAAAGAGACTGTCTTTCCTTGTTTAAAGTCGCCTCTCAAGATAGCACTTCCTGTCTAACAATATTTTTGTTCCCACTACCTTTACATTCCCTCTTTTATCTTTTTTCTCGATGCGGAAGCCTTAAAATCGTATGACCCATATTTTCGACATAATTATCACAGAAGTATTCTTTTTTCAATGCGAAACTTTATAAAATATCCAATAAATCTTCTTAGTATTATTTATGTGAAATAAATATCTTTGTCATATAGGTAATTCTGCATTGTTATTTTCGTATCGCTTGAACTGGGAATTTTATTTAATTGCCAGCTATGATATGTTGCATTGTCCATAACTATAACACTATTAGGGGCGATGTTGGGTATTACCTTCTTTTTAAACCAGTCTTCAAATATATCTGAAGTTTTGTTGTCATGGCAATCGAGACATGAATCACTGATGTATTTAGCTGATAGAGATAAGACATTTGGAACCCATCCATCGACTGATCCAGCATGGAATACTGTTATTCTTTTTCCTCTATTAGAAAGCGCTTTTGTTGAACAAGATTGACTAATATCTACCCAACCTTTAAATAGCGTATCATATCAAACCACGTTTCATCTAAAAAAATAATAGGTCGATTCTCTCGACGATGTCTTGGCTGTACCTACAGTTGACTTGGCTATACGCCGGTCTTGGCACCTTGGCTAGCTGTGATAATTATACAGCAATAGAATATTTACAAAAGATTATTCAGTTTTACAACTGCTATTAAAATAACTTTTATAATGAGACACTAAATTTCTGTATACACTATATAAAAACCGTAACTTTTAACCCTACTATACCATTATGGGTAATCAATTCTAGTTCATTACTTTCTATCATCACTATAGTTCTTCGACGAGCAAATGTACTTGCATTTATATATTTTTGTAGGTTATGTACGGAGGAAGAGTTATAGATGATTTCGATAGGAGGATTGTAAAAACTTATATGGATGAATATATGGGAGATTTTCTATTTGATACATTTCAACCATTTCACTTTTATCACGATAACACTGTGGATTATACCGTTCCACCTGATGGGATGAAGGAAGAATATATTGGTATTTAATATACAAAGTTTATTTTCCAAATTCCAAACTATTGTTGGAAGATAAATATTTAAACGTATGTTTTTTTTAGCATTTATTGATGAACTACCTCTTACAAATAGCCCTGAAGTGTTTGGTTTGCACGCAAATGCTGAAATAGGCTATTACACAAAAGCTACAAAAGAAATGTGGAATATTTTAATTGAATTACAACCTCAAACATGTAAGTTATGAGTGAATAGTTAATTTAAGATTTAAATTTTTGCAGGCGCCAATTACAGAGCATAGTCCAAGGTAGGGTTAAACAAATTTTATTAAATATATATATATATATATATATATATATATATATATACATATATATATATATATATATATATATATATATATATATATATATATATATACATGTATATATATATAGATATATATACATATATATATATATATATATATATATATATACATGTATATATATATAGATATATATACATATATATATATATATATATACATATATATATATATATATATATATATATATATATATATATATACATGCCCATTTAAAAGTTAATTTAACAGAGTTTGTAATGATTGGCTACTGAATCAGCCAGGCAAAACCATATTCATCTACTGCATATGTCTTGTGGGGCAAGCTTACCCTTTGACTGTAACGCAGAAGAATATTATCGCTGGTTTTCCAAAGACTGGCATGCACCCTTTCAACAGTTAGCCATTCACCAAAGTAGAATTTCTGTCTTCAGTAACTGACTGGCCTCCTTCATCTGCACTAGCTAATGGTACTTCTTCCTCAGCAGAACCAGAATATCCTGAAATTGACCATACAAAAGATCCTTCTACGTCTTTTTAAAACCCATCAACTTCTGAAGACTCTGCACTCAAGAACTTATGATGCCAATGAAAATTCTGATTACACCTTAGCCAATCCGACCTAAATTTCCTAAAGCTGCACAGCGCAATGAATTTCGAAGAGGAAAAAAAAGAGACAGAAGTCGTATTTTAACTAGTACACCAGAGAAAGTAGAGGCAGAAAGATTAGATCTCGAGTATAAAGTACAAATTCCATATCAAGATACAGATAATGATCTTGAGTAGAAGTATCTCTGAGTTCTGAGGAGGATGAAATGGAAGAAATAGATTGGAATAATAGTTCTGTGAATCTTAAGACTGGCGATTTTGTGCTTGTTAAATTTTGTATCAAAAAGTCTATTTTTTATTATGTTGGGAGAGTATTGAAGTTGATTTATTTAAGTTAAAGTTTTACTCATTACTCATTTTTAACTTATTTTCCTTAAATTACTAAGAAACTTATTAAACTGTATAAACAGAATATCATACATGCCAAAATTGCGGTCAAGAACGCTAAGACTGTTAGAAATTTGTTTTCTAAAACTAAAACACCCTTGTCCACTTTGGAACAAGTTAACACTATTTATCATCTTTCTTATGCCAAGTGTGATTCATGTTATATCGGTCAGACTGGGAGATCATTAAAAGGTCGTCTCACTACACATCGTAGTGACATTAATCTATCAAAGCACACTTGTGCCTTGGCGCAACATGCCATTAATACTAAACATAAGGTGGATTTTAATGAAGTTAAGATTCTTGGCACTGAACGCAATCTCGTTAAAAGACAGTTTTTGGAAAAGTGTTCAATTATTAAACACCCGAATGCTCTGAATAAGAGCACTGACATAAGTAACTTGAGCCAAATATATCATGCTTTAATTTTGCAGAATTAGGCTTAACCAGCTATTTACTATATAATTGTCTTGTAAGGTGTACAGTTTAACACATTTGTTTATTGAATAATTTAAAATATAATTAACAGATTACAATAAAAATAAATTCATAACATAAATAAAATATTTTAATATTTTTACTTAACTCACATAGACTTATGCAACTCACATTACATTTACTTTCATTATTTCTTATACACAGATTAGTGTGAATTGTTTAATGATTAAATATTAATACAAATAATGTAATTGATTCATAGAATCCCTTATAAATTACAGTTCCAAGTATATGAACCTTGGACTGTTGGAAATTATTATCGTTTGTCACCTGTGGCTGAGTATCGAGCTACAACGTTGACGTTTGTATATATATATATATATATATATATATATACATATATATATATATATATATATATATATATATATATATATATATATATATACATATATACATATATATATATATATATATATATATATATATATATATATATACAGTGTAGGAAAAAGTTTATGGTCGGTATGGACCTTACGATGGAGTGAGAAACAGCTGTTTAGAAAGAGAGAGGTATATTAGGTCCGCCCTTTATATCGCCAAACATGCATGCCTGGAAAGGGGAAGTTCAACGTTGCCAAACTTATTGGATTTATTTGACCTGTTGTTTTTTTTTGCATTTGAACAATGTTCTAAGATAATCCAATTTGGGCGAAACTGATTTAAATGGCAGCTTACTGTTTTTTTTTATTGGGAATATGCCACAAGTTTACTTTACAATAAGTGTAATATAACATTTTGATTTCCACTTTGGAAATCGTTTTATATAAATAAAATTTATTAATGTTTCGTATTTTAAGTATGATTTCCGAATTAAAAATCTAAACATCAAAATAAGCTTATTTTAAAGTCACATTGTGCCTTATTCTCAATATGAAATAATAAACTGCATACAATAACGCCACATTAAAAAATATTCATACACAATAATTATTTGGCAACGTCGGTCTGGTCTGGTTTGGCCGACCGAGTAACGATTAGTAGAGGTGGGTCGTGGTAGTTTTATCGTAAGAGCGTAGGTACAAAATTTCGTTCCAATATTTTGTAAATGCATTAATTATTTGCGAATCCTGAAAAAACTAATAAATATTTTTAAAAAATTTAAACGCAGAATGAAACAATACGTTATTACCGAGGGCCGAAAGTCACTGAAAACTTCTATAACATTTATTTTAATAAGTTATAGGGGTGACAAAATGTCAATGACAATATGTCAAAAATAAAAATTTTTAAGTTAGTATTTATGACATTTAGGCTGGTTTGCAGCTATTCAATTTTTTGGTTTACAAATTCAATTGTTTTTGTTAAGAAACTATCAATTGTAATTATTATGTAAGCAGCAGTTTTATATAACAAACTAATTTTATTTGGTGAGTTAACAAAAACTTTTTTATTTCTAGTTCAACTTTGTAAGATATTTTGTATTTTTTAGAAGCTCTTGATAATAATTGTAATCACAATTGAAAGCTCGAGTAAAAATAGTCAACAAATAGCCCCTTTTATTGACTCCAACCCATCCAAAACAGTTTTATATTTTTTCCAAACGAGTCAAAAGTACTTCTTTATATATATATATATATATATATATATATTATATATATATATATATATATATATATATATATATATCAATTGTATTATTTTTTAGCAACAACTGGCGTTGGTATTAGCAGGGAAGAGTTTATAGATAACGTTGCCCAAGATATTATTAAAAAAATACCTGAAGAATACGAAATATGGAAAGTGCGACGATATTTTCAAAGAATGATGTCGCCAACAGTAGTAGTGCTTCTTCAGGAGCTAGAAAGGTATAATTGTTATAATTTAATCGTTATGTTTTATGTAATACTAGCTGATCCGGCGAACTTCGTACATTTCATTATATATTAAAATAAATGTTCTGTTCAATTATTAGCTGCATAATATCAACTTTTATATATTAAGATCAAATTAATTAAGCTCGATAAAAGTTCAAAAAATCTGATTTACGTAGCAAGAAAGAAATCATTTGCTAAATGAATTGGACTTATTTCAAATATTTTCATTGAAGGATCTTGAAATATATTACATTTTTCGATTTGTTGCTAGGCGCGAGAATAAACAAAGTGAATAATTTGCCTGCATATCAACATATTATGTAAAATTGACCACGATAGAAACAAATGTTTTCTATATTCAGTCCAAAAACATTCAAGAATTTACCTTGTGAATTGTTTATCCAGAGAGCAACCACCATCGTAAAAGAAATATACAAAAAATCAGCCCTTTTGAAAATACAGAAATACAGAAATATACAAAAAAAATAAAGTAGAGCGACAACAAGATCTACGTCCAGCAGACTGGGTGGATAGACATAAATAAAGGACCGAAAGGTACAGGACGCTAAAAACCGAACATCATACTGTAGCATTTTTAACTCACCCTGTAATTGATAAGAACTGAAAATTGTTTATAACTTTTTTGCGTTTTTAAGATTGATAATCTAAACAACTTTAAAGTCTGTTTATAATTAGCAGCTGCTCTTTCGAGAAGAAATAATAATTTTCTCACTTGAAATTCTTTTTGCATAGAAGAAATAAACTTCCACTTAATAATTTTTTCATCTTTTTCGTGGGAGAATGAATGTTGTCATCGCGACACTTCTTGAGAATGACCGAAGATTTAGGATGTGTGGGGTCCAACCTAGAAGGGTTGTTTATTTTTTTGTGGCATTTAAGTACAATGCCAGTAAAAAATGGAAAAATCAGTATCAAAGTCAAGAACTACAAATACTCAAGTACATATCTGTACCTGGGAGGGAAAAGGCACCATGTCACAAAACTAAAACTTTTCAGTACACTTGTTTAATTTTTTTTTTCAAATATATTTGCTTATAGAAAGTACGTTTTTAGAAATATCTGATTAAAACTTTGTACATATAAACATAGGACTGTTTAATTTCAAAATAATATAATTATTATACTTTTTTCAATTTATTTTTTTTTTAATTTATATTTTTCATAAAAAAGATTAAAGAGAAACAATCAAAGTACATCAAAACACAAACTTCCAACTGTCAAAACTGGATTAAATCACACATGATGCTTTTTACCTCTAACCCATAAATAGTTTTTAAAGTTAGGTATATCTAATAGCATTATGTTCAGATGATGCCTTTTACTTTCAACCAAAAATATGACTTAATGCTGTCTACCATAGCCTTTATTAATATGAGGAATTTGATATAGTGTACAGCACAAAAAGTTTGGTAAGATAGTGTTGAGATCCCAATTTTGAAAAAAAATGGACATAGTGCTCTTTGTCTCCCAGATACAGTCGTCAGAGATTTGACACCTAAAAATCATATGAAATCATACTCTTCCGAAATTAAACACCGGTTTAAAATATTGAAGGGGACGACTCTAGATGGAACGCAGCTAAGTACCTTTCTAAAAATATTCCAATATATCCAAACGTTTTTGTTTGATCAGTTTACGTTTAGTCGTTTGCGAGAACAAATGGTATTGGAGTCTGCGAGACTCAACGTCACCGTTAATTACTTTTTATCTAGCGTTTCATATTTCTTTGTATAAACTATAATGGATCATCGACCAAGTACGTCACAATCGGTTAGTGTTACAGATACGAAATTTAAAGAGAAAGTGTTTGTTTCAATTATTTGGACTCTGAATATTGTGATATTGATGATATTGACAGTGATGCGGTAATAAAAAGCAGCCATGAGTCGGCATCTGAGCAGTCTAAAAGTGAATCTAATCCAGAAGACAATTTTCCAGAAACTTTAAACCAAGACTCGTTCAGTGATGTTGAAAATAATATATTGGCGTCAAGATCTTCAAACTACTTTTATGGTAAAAACTGATTTAAGTGGTTAGCTGGTTCACCAAAAAATATTTGGTCACTGCATGGAAAGGTTCGGTCTCTTGGTATTTCGGCACCTCCAAAGGAAATTTGGAACTGTTTAGTACTGTTTTGCAACTGTTTAGACAAATCAAATGTTAAATGTTGTAATCGAATAGACAAATATAAAATTGGTAAGTGTTGGGGTCAAATATTAAAATGAAAATAGGTCGGAATTAAAAAATGTCGACCAGATCGAAAAGGAAACATTTGTAAGCTTACTGATTTACACCTTAGTCTTTAAGTCCAACGATGAAGAAATAGAATGTCTATTTGCTACAGATGGAATGGCTAGAGAAATTTTTCGGTTTGTAATATGTGCCAAGAGATTTGCAGTTTTATTAACTTTTTTACGTTTTAATAACCCTTCCACAAGAGAACAACCAAAAGCGGTAAATTCACTAGCACCAATTCAAAAACTATTTGAATCTTTTATTTAAAACTGTCAAATAAAGTTTTCCGTTAGTGAATATGTATGCATTCATGAAATATTAGTTGGTTTCCGGGGTAAATCCCATTTTCGAATATATATTCGAAACAAACCACGAAAATATGGACTTAAAATTATGATATTAACACATGCAAGTAACAACTATGTCTACAATGCGTATGTATACAGGCTAAGAATCCGACTGAATGGGTATTTCAGTAACTGAAAAAAAGTTTACTAAACCTACTCTGTGTTACGGCTTTATAATCCGTTATTTGGCAGTAATCGTAATGTGACAATTGATTCACGTCTATAGAACTAGTTCAGTTGTTAAAATCTAATGGCCTAACATATGTAAAAATTATGAAAAATGTTAAAAGACATATTCCTCCTGAGTTTTTTCCTCAAAGGAATAGAGAGGTTGGTGCAATTAGATATGGTTTTACAAAAGACATTACCCTTCTGTCGTATGTTACTAAAAAAAGCCGTCATACTAGTATTGCAAAGATGATTTGGATGAAAAATGTACGTCCAGAAGAACGCAACGTTGGCCAATAGCTATATTGTACAAAATACTAGATATGATTACAGTTAACGCTTTCGTTATGTATCAGTGTTATAGAGAATCCAAACCCTTAGACAGAAAAGATTTTATGAATGTACTGGCTAAAAGCTTAATTGAAGCACACATGAATCAACGAATATATAACAGCAGAATCCCGACAGAAATAAGAGAAAACATAAAGCAAGTACTGTGCGTGTTTGAACCTCTTTCTATCCAAGAAGATTGGTTAGCAGTTCGAAAATATTGCTACATTTGCCCATCAAAACTTTATAGGAAGACATCGTATTTATGCGTCTGTTGTAAAAAACCCATTTGCTCGACATTTTCTTATAAAATATGCAGAAACTTTACTGTTGAAAAAGAATAAAAAAAATAATCCTCTTTTTTTGTCCGTATTTACCCACTGCACGTTCCGTTACGTTTAGATTACTGATGATAATTTTTATTACCGTAAATTATTCAACTATAGTTTATTTTTATGAACGAGAGAGTAATTAGCATAATTTTAACTGGTACCTCTGACCACTCCATGGGCGTGCTCAAGATTAATTGAAAAATTACTTTGAATAATTGTAAAAAATAAATGAATTATTTCAGTGTTATAAAGTGTTATGTGTATGTAAACAAAAGTGACCTCTTTTATCACACACTATATTAGAACTAACTGGCCTACATTAAAAAGAGTTTTAAAAAATTCACATTTTTTTTAATTTTTAAAAATTACGCAGGAGAAAAAGAGTTTTTAAAACCGTCTAAGGTATGTTAAATAGATGAATAAAAATATTAATATAAAACTTACAGCTACTTGTTATAAATCCAAATCAGATTCAGAAGATGAACTTTCAGAACCAAGATTTATAATAACTGGCTCGATCATTTTATCAGTAATATTGTCCAGCTTCCACATTTTTTCCTTTCTTTAATAGTGTGATTTACTGCCTTTTCCCAGTTTTCAGGTTTTACATTATTTACGGCCTCCAAAAACAACTGTTTAACATCATGAATTTTAAAAGTGGTATTTTTTCTTGAAACTTCACTCTTTATCTGTGCCCATACCAGTTCAATCAGGTTTAATTCACAATGATATGGTGGGGATCTGTCATTCCACGATTTTTGGCAATTTCATCAATTTCGTATTTTTTAAATTTTTCTTTATGAAGGGCACACAACGAATAAAGTTCCTTTCTTGTAGATCCGGGATGGTACGTAATATTTTTTGAACTCAGCTAATTCTGCAAGTCTTTTTTTAACCACTTGGTTGTGGGCAGTCCTTCTATAAGTCTGGAGTGATAACTTGCATTATCCATTACTATTACACAGTTCTTACGAAGAAGATCTATCATTTGTTCGAACCATTTTGAAAGACATCAGCGTTCATGTCTTCATGGTAGTCACCGGTACGAGTTGATTCAAAAGTTAATAAACCACCTTCAACAAAACCGTCTGAACTGCCAATGTGTACTATTATCAGCCTGCGTCCCTTTCCTGATGGTGGGTATAAACCAGTAGATAAGTTATTTACAAAAGCGTGCCTTTGACTTGTAACAGTTTCATCCTGCCAAAATTTATTTGGTGTATGACCCTCGTTGATCCATGTTTCATCAAGATAAAATATTTTTCTTTTTTGGTTTCTCATTTCCTTTATGGTTCTTAGAAAATGTCTTCTCCATATGACAATATCGCTTCTTTCTAATAAAATAGACTTTCTGGAATTCTTTTTGCAGCGGAAGCCTATTTCTTTTAAAAGTTTCCATAACGTACTTCGACTCATTTCTGGGTAATCCTTATCATCTCGAACTGGGACAAGAACTTTATCCAATGTTGGAAATTCTTGTCTAAAGAAGAATTCATGCACTTTCCGTTGAAGTCCTTCTTTAAAATGATATTCTATTTGAAATTTTGGTTTCTCTGGAGCACTACGTGGCATTTGAAAACTACCACATTTCTCTTCTTTAATAACTCTGTAAATCGTAGATTTCCCAACACCAAGTGTACTGCTAACTAACTCAACGGTCTCATCAACACTATCACATAAACGTTTATCTGTAAATGATTTAAAACAATTAAATATTAATGTTTTTTCATTAACTGTTAAAGGACCAATTTTTCGGCGTTTACACGGCACTTCCAAATTTTACATAACACTAGTATACACAATAAACTGCACCTTGCAACTGAAGTACCTACTTTTAGTGAACTGTTAAGAATTTTGAATACGCCACTTGGACCTTCCTACAAAATGGAAAAACCCACTATCACATTTTCTGTGGAATAAGTTTAGAAGGTAATTATCTAGTCAATTACTGTCGTAGATTCCTGAAATTAAAAAATTAAATGTTTGATTTTTGAAACCCTTACTTCGTAGAATGCACTTATTTCAGATAAAATAAAACGTTTTATTTTATTTAAAGAATTAAACTTTATTTTGCAAATAGGTAGGTACTTATTAAACTTTTATTGGTTATATATAACCAATAAAATAAACATCTTACATTTCTTGCAAATTCATTAGTACCTGTTAACCTCCATCACTCCGACACTGGCAACCTCATTGCCAGTTTGGGATTAGTAACCCTCACAACTATTGTATTCTATTCTGCTCCAACCTTTATACCTGGTAGTCATACTCAATTTAAAATTGTTTTTCTATATACTTCTGTAAACTTGTTGACAAATATCTGTTTTTGATTGAGTCACCCGTATCAACAGTTTAGGGATTTACATACATAATTTATTGTTTTATTACTCTCTCATACATAAAAATACACTATAACCAATACCGAATGAGAACAAATGCCGAGGTCAAACAAATGTATAGTGCTAGCGACGTAGTCCAAGAGATTAAATCCCAACGTCTAAGATGGGCTGGCCATGTTCATAGGCTCCCTAATAACCGCCTTACCAAGTTAATCTGGGAAGAAGTCCCGACAGGGAGAAGGCCCTTAGGACGTCCACGAATGCGATGGAGAGATAATGTATGGTCAGATTTGAGAACAATGGGGCTACCCACTGACTTAAACATCATGGACGACCGTTCGAGATGGAAGCAGGTTGTGCAGTCAGCCAAGACCCACCCCGGGTTGTAGTGCTACAGAAGAAGAAGAAGAAGTAAATTATTCAATATTTGTTATACCTAATATTAAAACCATTTGTACATACTAAATTTAGAAATATTAAACAAAAATTATTAAGTTTTGCGACGTAACACCGTACTTTATTTATTTGCAACTTGTGACAAAAACATTAACAATATGAATAGTTAGTAACAGAAAGAATATAGGAGGCAATAGGATATTGCCAAAATGCCTAAAAAAAGATTATTATACACAATGTAATAAAATAATTATTTAAATTTGAATGAGACCAGCATATTTATGATCAGTCCGGGAGACTCCACGTCACCGGTTATATTCCTAAAAAATCGGACGTCACTGGTTATGGGTTAAAGGTGAAGAGTGCAGCTTTCGTATGCAATTTTTGTATTTTGTTCAATAAATTGGTTCAAATAAATGTTTACCATTTTTTATGATTCTTTACGTCAAACCACCGCTGAAGCAATGTTCGTGTTCAACCACCTCAAAAACCTCGGTTAATAAGTTTCAACGATTTTCATAATATATTTCCATAAATTTATAGGAGACGACGTAGATACCGGGCACCAGATACCTCTTACACTTTCGCCAACCTGATCAGATCAGACGCATATGTTGATGTTTACAATAGTTATAAACAAGTAACGTTTTGGCCTTATCTTGCAGTTTTTGAAGCAAAAAATTAATTTTACAACTTTTACAAATCGCCATTTTACATCTTTTTATGTTTTAAAAGACAAAGTTTTGTAATTTTACCTAGAAAATTAAGCTTTTCAGTGGTAAGCAAAAAATCGAAAAAAATGTGGTTTTTTACATTAAATTGTTAATAATTTAAAAAAAACGCCGAAATATCTGCTGAAAACATATGTTTTCTTCAACATTACCTTTTCTTTTAATAGTGCTTATAAGGAAATTAGAGAAGGTAGAAGGAAATAAATAAAGGAAATCAATTGGTGCAATAAATTCAAAATATAATGAACAAATACCTTTGTAGATTTTCATACACTAAATAAATATCTTATGAAGAAATGTTTTCCTAAATTACTCTGTTGTATATACAGTTAACCAACAAACTCCTTCCCGGGTTCTGCTTATAAAAACAAAACTGTCGACACCCTCCTAACAATGCCTATTGCTCCTATTGGAGGGTCAAAATTCTCCTTAGCTATGCTTCGCTATAAGAATAGTAAACTATTTTACTTTCAAATACCGCAACTACAGCTTTCAACACTTGCTTTGCACTACTTTTCGCCACAATAATTTTTCTTTCACCAGATAAAAAAAAACTATCGGCACACTCCTTTCGATTTTGTCTTCACTCGCTTTAAGTTCAAACAGCAGATATTCCTCCTTGCTTTTTCAATCTCATTCCCGCTTTTCTATTCCGTCCATAACTTGTTGTATTCAATTAAAAATATTCTTTGCCTGCAACCAAATTCCAAAACTCTCCAAATTCCTAAAACTCAACTAATTTCAAATTCCCGTAATTGGGTACAAACCATACAAGACAATAACTTTCTACTTTCTCCTTCACCGTTAATGAACGCTTTTGAGATAACAGAAAAGAGTGCCTGAAAACGGCAGGAGATATCATATTTCAATGCAATCTATTATTATATTATTTATGCATAAAATTTTAATATGTTTAGTTTAATCTTTTTTGTTTTTAAACAATTTTATATTTTTATTTATTTTTTATAGATTTAATAAGCTTATAGCTACAATGCTAAGAACATTGGTTCAACTACATAAAGCCCTGTGCGGTGAAATAGGTATGGATAGTGTATTAGACAATGTGGCTTATTCTTTATTTAACGGGCAACTACCTACATCATGGAGAAAATTAGCGCCGGCAACTTGTAAGAATCTTCCCGGTTGGCTTGAACACTTTGAACTAAGACAACAACAGTATTTTAATTGGGTAACTATTGGTCCATATTGTTGTATAATTCTGCTATGAGAAACATGAGATAAATTACACGCCATTCGTTAGCCTACAAATAAAAATAATAATAAATCATGAAATTCATAACTTATGCAAAGTCCTAGCCTCGGAGGATTGTAAGAATATAGTTAAATATAATGGATATACAGATCACGATATTTTTATTGACCATATAACAAAATGGTAATCGCTGTGACATTACACGTTTCCACCTCTATATTTATTTCGAATTAGGTACGAATTGTCGTAATTGTCACATTGACATTAAAAATTTCAAACGAAGTTCAGAAATAATGAATAAATAATTAATAAAATACTTATTACGTTGTATACCGTCCAAGAAAAAATGCAACTTGTAACATGGTACTTTAAGGGTTATTCAATACGCGAAGTAATTGATTTATTTATTGTTGCCTTCGAAAATACACTCTTACCAGTGTTACAACAGTTAAAAATACCAATAAACATTTTTAAACTTCGGGATGTGTACGTTTTAGACCTGTCGATGAGGAGCGTCAAAACAGGGATATTGATATTTGTACGTTTGTAGAAGCTAGGGAACACTGCCATAGTATACAAATTGCTATGGAAGTTAACGTAAAAACTTTAAACTGTCCAGCAAGTTCTCAAAATAAATGGGTTTTACTGTTTTAAGATACAAGCAACACAACTGTTTCCGGAAGATAACTTTAGTTGGATCGAGTTTTATTAATTTAAATTAGATAAACAGAACGAAAATGTACTGTTACGATAAAATATGTACACTTTTTAAAAAATATTTTATTTTCTGACGAATGTTCATTTTCATACATAAAAAACACAATCCATCCGCTGCAAGGTATTCTCGGAAAAATAAGCACCTCAGTTTCGCAGTGCAAACGCATCATCGGCATTTTTATTCGATGAAAACCTTCTTCTTTTTAGAGTGCCGTCTCCCTACGGAGGTTGGCAATCATAATGGCTATTTTTATTTTAGAACTTGCTGCTCTAAACAAATCAATCGATTTGCATTGATACCAATCACGTAGATTCTTTAACCATGAGTTCTGCCTTCGGCCAACAGATCTTCTTCCTTGAATCTTTCCCTGTATTATGAGTCTCAAAATTTTATATTTTGGTACCCTCCTCACGTGGCCTAGGTATTCCAGTTTTCTGGTTTGTATAGTGGTGATTAGTTCTGTTTCTTTACCAACCCTCTTCAGTACTTCTTTATTTGTAATTCTATCAGTCTATGGGTATAACCAGTGAACGAAGGCCACGATCCTTTTTAAATTACATTTTTTTATGTGCAAGCCTCAGCTCCATATAATAATATTCAAAATATATATCAGCCATTGGTACGTAGTCTGATCTAGAAATTTAGATTTTTGCACGGTAGGAGTGGCTTCATTGCTGCTTCATGCTGTTCTGGCAATCTCTATTCGCCTGTTTATTTCTACAGTATGATCATTGGTTTCATTGATCAAAGTTCCCAAGTCTGATATTTTTCTACTTGTTCTATCACGTTATCATTGATTGTCAATTGGTGATGTATATTTTGGGGTCTTTTTGTAATTAGCATGTACTTCGTTTTTTTAACGTTTATAGTAATTCCCATCTCTTCACTATTCATACTTAAGCTTTCGATAAGATGTTGTAGATCCTCTATACTCGTTGATATAATCACAGTGTCGTCTGCATATCTTAAGTTGTTAATTAATTTTCCATTAACGGTGACTTCCGCTTCGATATTATTAAGCGTGTTTTGAAAATTTTCTTTAGAATATAAGTTAAACAAAAGTGGCGATAAAACACATCCCTCTTTAATTCCTCTACAGATTCTCTATCTTCTAAGTGTTGCCCATCAATTTGAACTATGACACTTTGGTTCCAATATAATTTTTGCACTATATTTATGATTTTGCTGTCAATGCGCTTGTTCATAAGTATTGATATTAGATTTTCATGTCTTACTTTATCGAAAGTTTTTTCGTAGTCAATGAAGCACAAGTGTAGATCAACATTTACATCCCGAAATTGCTGAATCAATATGTTGATGGCAAATAGTCCTTCTTGAGTACCCATTTCATTTCAGAACCCGAACTGCGTCTCGCTAATATCCTCCTCTAGCGTTTCTTATATTCTCTTATGGAATACTTTTAGCAGAACTTTTAAAGTTGACTCATGAGGCTCAATGTTAGATAATCAGAGCACTCTTTTGCTGTTTTTTTAAAGGATGGTTATAAATACTAACTTCAGCCACTATTGTGGTATTATTCCCGTATCGTACACCGTGTTGAATAAATCTGCCAATACTTCGAAGTTATCCTCTTCCACTAGTTTTAACAGTTCTACTGGTATTTCATCTAATCCAGCTGCCTTATTGTCTTAAGAGTTTTTAATAGCACATTTGATTTCATCTATAGTGATCTTCTGTCTATCTACATCATTTAACTCTTGTATTTGCTGTATTTCACCTCTTTCATCTTGGAAAAGTTCTCTAACGTACTTCTCCCATCGTCTTAACTTCTCTGGTAAATTTATTAGTAGTACTACTTTTTTGTCTTTTATGTTTCCTTGCTGTCTATTTCGACCCATTTTAGTCACTTCTCTAATTTTTTGTGCATATTTCTTATACCATATTTTGTTTCTAGTTTTTCTATCTCTTTACATTGTTTCATCAAATAGATTCCTTAGCTGTTTTGATTTTTTTCTTAATTATTCATTGTATTTCTTTATACTTCTGTAGATCTTTTCCTTTATATTTCCTTCTTTCTTCCATCTGTAATAGTATTTCTTCTGTCATCCAGTGTTTTTTAGCCTCTGACCTATGTTGTATCAAACTTTCTTAAGCTGGTTTCAGTAATGTGTTTTTTATTCGCTCCGTGCGCGACTATGGTAGGGGTACATTGAAACGATGCCAGCGTGCGTAGCGGCGAAATATGACAAAATTAGAATATTGGACAAAATATTTTTACGCATAAGTTTTATCAAAAATGTGTGCAAATACATGTTGCGTATTTAATTCTGCTAATAATAGCAAAAACAGTGAGTGTAATTTTTATAGGTTCCCAAAGATTTCATATAAATTAGAGAAAAGAAAAAGATGAATTCGTGCTATTAATATGAAAAAGTAAATATCACATAATTTCATTTTTATGCAATTGAAATAGGAACAATTTAAATAATTTACCTTGAATGATATTTCATAAGGCTTCAAGCTAACTGCAGATGACTTTAGCTTTTATATCATAACTTTTACTATTATTGTTTTTAATTATATGCTCTTTTGCGTGAAAAACTTGATTTGCCAGTACTAGATTTTTCGCTTTCTTTTCCGTTTGGAGTTGAAAAGATATATTATGATGAATTTTGAGAAACTCAGTTTTTAATACTACATTTATTTTGTACATAAACTGAAAAAATATAGTTAAAAAACTAATTTATTAATAATTGTCAATTTCGCATGTATTTAACAATGTCAAACATATGTCATATATTTAACCTGAAAATTGGGACTCCAAAATTGTCAGATGAAGGCGGTAGGTGTCGCATCAGTCATGCACGGAGCGAATATTATACCACTTTTTATTTGCATCCATAATTTGTTTGTAGTCAGTTAGTGTTTTTTGCATATTAACATTCACATTATTTTTTAATTCGTTTTTTATTTCTTTGCTTTGTAGTATCATGGCGTAAATTTTTGGTTGTTGTTTTCTGAGTTCAATTCTTTTAAATTTTATTTTCACACCAGCCACTAACGGATTGTGGTCTGAGTTAACATCTACTCCAAAGTAAGTTTTAACTGAGGTTATAGAGTTTTTATATCTGCTATTTACGAGTATAAATTCTATCTGGTTTCTGACATAGTGTTTTTCTGTATGTGAAGGAGACGTCCATGTATATAGTCTTCTTTAAGGAATCTAAAAGCGAGTATTGGCAAATACCATATTCTTCTCTTGATAGAATTTTATGAGCCTTTCGCCTCTCTTGTTTCTAGTTCCTAGTCCGAATTGTCCAACTATATTTTTAACTGTACCTACTCCAATGTTTGTATTAAAGTCTCCTAAAATGTAAGTAGTATCTCTAGATTTTGTTAACTTGATTGTATTGTTCAATTCTGAATAAAACTTTTCGATCTCATCTTCGGACTTATCAGCTGTGGGAGCATAGACTTGGATCATATTAATATTACAGTTCCGTGCTTTAATTTTAAGCATTATTATTCTTTCTGAGATCTGAATCACACCTAGCACTGATTTTCCAATAGTGTTGCTTACGATGAAAGCTACTCCGTATCGATGATTAGTTTTGTCTCCTCAAGTGTAATAAATATTGTGATAATTTATTGATATCTCTCCATTTCCTGACCATTGTACATCGCAAACCCCAAGTATATCTATATTTAGCCTCTCTTTTTCTTTAATAACATTGTGTAGTTTTGCAAAAGAATACATACTTCTTAATTCCAGGTAGTTATTTTTATCTGAGAGGGTTGAGTATTTTTTTTGTGATATTTTGTGCAAGGGTTTCGCATGTTGACGACCGAGGAGGCCTTCCGTTCTAATGGTTATCCTCCCCTGCCAGATTTTGGTCTCCGATTACCAGAATCAATACTGTCTCTTGCGCAAATAGCGCTAACCATTATAATTTATACTAGAGATGTCATCAGGGACCTTTAATGCAGTGTTGCAGTTTCTTGTTGCTTTTTGCATTCCGATGACGTTGACCACTTTCTTGGTTCTTCCGCCTTCGAGACTAATTTCTCAGTTTCAGGACAACAGAGTGTGCTTCCAATTACTAGCTCATTCGCCGTAAGCCGTTGGCTAGTAAATGGTTGATTGCTTATCCCGGCAAACACTCGGACGTCACAGCCTCGTTAGATATCTAGCAGAATGTTCCAGAAGACCATGATCTAGATCATCATACCAGCAGGACATTTGAATAGGAGTGGCTATATGTTGCGCTTCACTATTCCGTTAGATCCCGATGAATACCTGAACGGACTCAATTATTTACAACTTTTACAGAATGAAATCATTCCGGCAGTTCGACGCCTTCCCGTTAATTTTCAGGAGGGTTATTGTCAACAGGATGCGTGTTCGGCTCACAACTCCAGAGCAACTATTGACTTCCTTAATCAAACGTTTTTTGATGGACTGATAAGTACACGTGGTACAATTAAATGGCCCGCTAGATCCTGTGATTTAGCGTCTAACGGTTTTTTTTGGGGTTTTCTTAAAGAAAACATTTATATGCATTACTTTGAAAGGGCCAAAAACCTAGTCGATTCAAGAGCAAGCATTACATCAACCCTACTCCAAAATATGAGTACAAATCTGTATGACAGATTTGGTTACAGGTTAGCATAAGGAGGTGGAATATTTGAGATCTTAATTCATTAATCTGCTTTCCTAATTTTTATTTTTTGTTAGGTACATTTTACTAAGTTTGTAGGTTCTTAATTAATAAATTAATTAGTATTTTTTATGTTTGAAAGAATTTTATTGTTTTTTTTTATTTAAAAGTACAAACGATCCTTATTCTGATATTTTTTTTTCTTTCTTGTCTTATTGTTTTAAGCTTTGTCCATAAAATTTGTGCAATTTTCAGTGACAATAAAGTATATTACTGATTTACTTACTTATTTATTTGTATTACTACTAAGGGTAAAAAAACCAATAAATTAGTTTTAGAGCATTATAATAAATACACTCTAGAGACGGAATTGCAATAAATCTTAATTCTAATGGTCAACCAAACAATGTCGTTATCTGTAGTCAAAATATATTAATATTTTTAAAAAATGTAAAACTTCCAAAACTAAAAGTGGGTCTTATACCACAATACGTCAATTGCTGACAGTAGAAATTGTAGAGGTTGAAAGGTCAATCTAAAAATGAAAATAATTTTGTTTTAGTCTACAACAGGTGAACCTACAGTACTCTGGATATCTGGTTTACACATTCCTGAAACTTATTTAGCTGCTTTGGTACAAATATCGTGTCGATTACATAACTGGCCATTGGATAGATCTACCTTGTATACTTCTGTTACCGAACACGTAGATCCAGCTGATGTTGTTCTTCGACCCCAACAAGTAAGTCAAATTTTTTACATTTGTTTGATTATTCTGTTGGAGATCTATAATCTCCAACCAAATAATTCTATTAAAAAAAAAATAAAAACATTTCCGCGCCGGTTACATAAATAAAATCCAGTCTACATTATTTCTCAGAATGTTATTCTCCGCCCATTTGACCTTTTAAACCAACCGATATTCAAAATGCATAGACAAGTATTTCAGCGGAGCTAGGGGTCGACAGTGAATTGGCGACAGATGTAGGGCTTAGACCTACGTTTCAATTTTCGGAGAGTTATTTCTTCACGTTCACAAGTTACGTAACAAATCGGAAACCCCTAATGTGTGACGTGTTATGCTGTTTTCGTTCGTAAAGTGTAATTTTCTAATTAGGTTCCTTACGATTAGTTATTCACTCACAATTTATAACTTTCTATTTCTTTTCCTTTTTCAATTACAGTTCTAGCTTAAAAAGCAATTTTTTTATTTCACTCTATTACTTCTATTCAACAGGCCAGGCCAGATTAAAGCACATTTAAAAGTCCATTTAAGTTTCTTTACTGAGCAGTCGAAGGCCAGCGGAACAATTGGACTTACAGCAAGTACAAACCGCTGAAAGAGACACTGTTAGCATACAAGACTCTCTCTGAAGGGATGTTGAAAACCGCCACCCCTCCATATTCTTTGACTGTTGGTTTATTAACACTTAAACTCCTGGGCTTATTTATCCGCATCAGTTGTCATAGTCTGGCAACTTTTTTTCAAGTTTTTTAATAAAATGCTCTGTATGTATAGCATTTTTCATATAAAAAAGCTTGCACGTCATTCAAGATTTACGTTGTCAAAACCCCACAGCGTTGCCAAAAGATCAGAATAGTTAGTGAGGAGTTTTTAAAATGTCAAATATTTGTCAAACTTATATTAACAGTATTAAATACACTTAGTTTTAAAACTACTGCAACACATTAAAATACATGAGAAAACATTTTAATACAAAATTATATATTCTAAATTTTAAACTTACCTCTTTTGGGGCTTTAATAGTAAAAACGTCCCGTCATGATTTCTTGTTTAAAATAATTTATCTTATATGAAGGCTTATCAGCTTTCTACAGACTATTTATTTGTTTTGGCATATCAGAATCACAATACACAACAATAATTAGTTTTTAAAACTATCAATCTAAATTTAATATGTATTTATAAATATACAGTGGTGAGTGCGATATCATCCGGCATTTTAACGTAAGAGATAGAAAACACAGTTACCTTGTGAAATAAAAGGAGATGAAACTCGTAGAGGTGGGAAATAATCGATAGAAACCTATAATTTACATTACATTGCATTACCACCATCGACAGTCTCACACCTTTAGACGTTGGACGTGGCTATTTGACTTCAGTCATAATTCTACGGATACCCTCAAAAATATTTTATTTTAATAATTTCTGATGTTAGAATAAATACTTGAATAAATTAAGATATGTTATAGTAAAAAACATTCATTAGTAGCGATTTTAAATTATAAATCTTTAAATTTACTTAATAGTAAAAATAACTCAACTGAAATATTTGACTAAAATAAAGGTGGGTATGTTTTGTCTGGAAACACTTAATGTATGTGAAATTGGTGTAGTCGTTAGGGACGTTGTCTATTGACGAGAAAATTGGGGTTCAATTCCACAACAAGGATAAAATTTTTGTTTTATCAATAAAAAAATAATAGAAAATATGATACATATTAGGTAACAAATTTTCGAAAAACTCATTATTTACAATTTATTTTTATTCCAATGTTATAAAACGGAAATACAAAATGATTCAAATTCAATTCATACAGTCTTCAGTTGTGAATGCAAAATAATCCGGTGAAGTCTGTTTATATCAAATCCATCACTAAATTCTCAATGTTAATATCAATTCCTCTGTACAGATAATGATTTTCAAAACAATTGACAACATTGGAATGGATGCGCGCGAAGCAAAGCCTTTAAGCCATCAAATAATAACATATCGAGAAGTGTTTTTGCACGGTAAACAGAAACTTTTTATTGAAAAAACAATTCGTAAAAATGGTTTTAACGGTCGAGGAAAAAGTGCAAATTGTTGTCTGGCATGTGAATGGATTCTCAGACAACATGATTAGACAACAATTTGTAAATATGTTTCCAAATAGGCCGGCTCCATCACGATCAACAATTCAATCTATTATACGTAATTTTTTTACTTATGGATCCGTGTTCGCTCCAAGAGGAGTTCGTAGGCGAAGGGAGGTAAATCCAGATATGGAACTAAGAGACACTTTGATTTGTGCAAGTATTGAGCAAAATCCTACCCAATTAACATCTCGTCTCGGAGAAAAATATGGAATTTCAAGATTTAGAGTTGGTAAAATTTTGAAAAGGCATGGATACCGACCCTATAAACTTCATAAATCCAACGAACAATTCCCTGGGGATCAATATAGACGTTTAGAATTTTGTCAAACTGCAATGGAAATTTCACATCAAGATGAACATTTTTTAGAGAACGTCTTGTTCACCGATGAATGTACGTTTTCATTGCATGGCCGTCACAATTCAATGAATGCTCGGTATTGGTCCCGAGGAAATCCTCGTCAGATTTATGTTGCTCGTACCCAGCGTCCTCAAAAAGTAAATGTTTGGGGAGGCATAATAGGGAATCATGTCGTTGGTCCATTTTTTATAGACGGTATGTTGACTGGGCGGAAATACTTGGAACTTCTGCAAAATCAAATTGTCCCAGCCCTTCGTAATTTACCAATTCCTTTCGATTCCATATGGTTTCAACACGATGGTTGTCCTGCACATAATTCTCGCATCGTCAGTGAATATCTCAGTGCGACTTTTCCTAATCGATTGATTAGTGGACACGGAGATATTTTTTGGCCTGCAAGATCACCTGATCTTGCACCTTGTGATTTTTTTATGTGGGGATATATCAAGTCCAAACTATATGGAATTGAAGACGATAGGCCTAATTCTCTCCAAGAATTAAGAGAAAAGATCTTTGATTCAATGAGAGGTATTAGTCCAGAAACATTAACTAATGTTAGACGAAACTTTTATAATAGATTGGGTTATTGTTCTGCTGCTAATGGAGGCTTATTTGAACATTTTTTGTAAATATATTTCATTAGAATAAAATACGTTTATTTAGAATATTTTTATAGAATTTCTGCTTATTTAAACATTTTTTGTAAGTACATTTATTTAAAACGTTCTTTTATGTTTGAAGAATTTTTACTTTATTTTAGAAAGTACATTGTTTTTTCAATAAGATTTTCATGTTTTACTATAAACACTTCTAATAAAGACTGAAATAAATGTTTTATGATTTAAAGCAAAACGATATAATATCTGCATAATTTCAAATTTTTATAAAAGTAAAAACTTTTTGTAGGATTTGAACCCTAACCGCCTGCATGAGTACATCGTGCCTTCAGCCCTGATCTATCAGACTTTTATAATTCTTTAGTGACAGTTTGGGTTATTATTCTGCTGCTAATGAAAGTTTATTTGAACATATTGTAAATACGTTTATTTACAATATTTTTTTATTTTTGTAAAATTTTTACTTATTTAAACATTCTTTTAATTTTAAAGAATTTTACTTTAGTTTCGAAAGTACAACGACACTATTTTTTCAATAAGATATTTATGTTTAACTTTAAACACTTCAAATACTAGTAACGACTGACATAAATATTTAGTGATTCAAAGCAAAACGATCTTTGCAAAATTTCAAATTATTAAAAAAAGAAAAAAGAAAACCTCATGTAGGTTTTGAACTCTGATCATCTGCGTCGCAGAGTCGAATTCTTACCACTAATCCACGAGGGATTGCTAATTATTCTGTGACAAGAGTGTATGAAACTCCTAAAATCATAGTAGAAATTATTCTTGGTTAATAATTTAAAACTTTAGAATAAATAATCACTATTAATTAAATTATTTTATTCACATTTTTGCTTTATTGTGGTCAATCAGTTTTTACTTTATCTAAATTAAAAAATGGAAATACGTCACACATACGACGTCAAACTGTCAAACATAATAATTATGACCGAGGTGATTTAGATCGAAGGTAACGTCTAAAGGTGTGAGACTATCGATAGTCGTAATGTAATGTAATGTAAATTATAGGTTTCTATCGATTATTTCCCACCTCTACGAGTTTCATCTCCTTTTATTTCACAAGGTAACTGTGTTTTCTATCTCTTACGTTAAAAAGCCGGCTGATATCGCACTCACCACTGTATATTACAATTACAAAATAATATAATTTATTAATATATATTATACTATGATCAAGACAGTCTCGTACAAATTGTAAATATATTTAATTAAAATTATTATTTTGTGGAATATTAGACTTAAAGAATTATTTCATAAAATTTGTATTATTAATAATAACAAATGTTTTTGGTTATTTAATCAATATAATTCTAAAATTTCCAATATAATGATCATTACATTTTTCTGATTATTTCACCAGGTTGACGCCCATGAAATAGGCTATGAAATAGGAACCAGGTTCCGTATTGGTTTCGTATTTTAAATTTCGAAAATTTTAAATATAAGTGACGTCACTTTGTATAAATCGTGACGTGCAAGTGTTTTACTTTGAAAAATGGTATATGTGATAATTCATATATGACGTTTTTTTTTTATTTAAAAAGGGCTTTGTAGGGTGTATTTATTTTTGATACCCGCAGTTCACCTAGACGACTTTTCATAATGTCATTACCCATAGCCTATATGTATTGAAATTGATAAACATTATTTATGAAACTTTATTAAGAAACAACATAAGCAAATATCTAAACAAATTATTGTAAATATACAATATGTGTGCTAAAAAACAAATGTTACAAACACATGTTTTTTCTACATTCAGTACCAGTACCAGTACATCTGGTGTTGCACTGTTTGGAATTCTTAGATGCATGTGCGCGACCAACGGATTTTGTCAGTGTGTTGTAACATATAACATATCGTCCTCTTTTGTCATATTCTTCCAGCCTATGGTGTGTTTTTTGAGGTTTTATAACATTATTGTCATTGCAAATGGCAGTCACTAATTCTTCGCAAAATTGTGTTACATCCATTTGTTTGTTCAATGCATTGTTGTACATAATAAAATCATTCACTACGGCTGTATTTTTCAATAACTCTATTCCCACTTTCCGATACCATGTTATAGAACGTCGGATGGGATTACTGTAGGAAGCTTTTTGATCAGAGACGTCAATGTAAGATTTAACAGATTTATATTCTACTATTGTAGACGGTTTTCTTTTTATTTCTGATTTTGTATCAACGTCGACCATTTGTGGACAAGATTTTGTAGTCAGAAATGTTACCTCTCTTTTGTTGATCCATTCTCCTACAATAACTTTTGTGTTGCTCTGTAGCGGCATCATATCTCCTTTATTTAGCTCTGTTTGAAACACCAACTTAGGATTGTATTTTCTATTTTTACGAAGTGTTTCAATTAGATAAATATTGTTATCATTACATTTACACTAATAGTGTAAAATTTGTCCGTAACCAAAGTTCTTCCTGAGTGTAAAAAAGGTTGCATTAATTCCATGTCCACTAGGGATGCCAGTGGTTGTTCCTTTGGTCTTTTTTGCTTTCCGCCATAAATTTTTGCGTGATATGTGTAATTGCCTTTTCCGCAGAGTTTGAAAACTTTTAAGCCATATTTATTACATTTGCCAAGTATATACTGTAAAAATGACAAACGTCCTCTAAAAGGAATCATCGATTCATCAATATAAACGTATTTGCCTGACACCAAAGTAGATTGAAAACTCTATTGAACGCCTGCAGCAATGGTTCAACTTTGAACAATTTGCTTTCTTTAGGACAAGCTTCATTATATGAAAATTGAAGCAAGCAAGAAGAGTCTCAAATCTATACTTCGATATGTTTATTGTCCTGTATATTGAGCAATGATGGATAAAATTAGTGCTCCAGTAATCTCGTAGTCGTGGTTTTGTATTCAAACCCATCCATATCAAAATTCCCACAAATTTTAATATTTCTTCTCTGTTAGTATCATTCCAGTTAGTGAGATATAAATTTGCCTTAACGTTTTCACGATTTATAGCATCAATAATTTTTTGATCGGCATATAGATTTGTTTCCTGCACTAAAATATCCAGCATCTCGTCTGTAAGGAGCAGTCTATAAAATGTTAAAGGTATATCATTTTCCATACTTTTTAAAACTACCAAAAAAGTATTTTCATATATAACGTCGAATGTATTTAAATTTCCATCAACATTGTTCCATATAACATTTGCCTGTAAATTCCCTATTGGAGGATTTACCATATCTATATTATTTAGATCTTCAATTTCAGATTTACTTTCACTTATTTGTAAATTCAACTGTTCATCTCAAATTCTAGGTTGACTTCCTGGTAACATTATTATCCTAAAATATTTCAAAATTATATACAACATTTGAAATTTATACGTAACTATAAGCTTACCTGTGTTTCCACTTTCTGCCGTTTTGTTTGTGGTTCACGTTCACAATCTGAAGAATATTCACTGTTATCGGAAATATTAGTATATAATGGATCGGCATCTGAATCATCAAATTCACAATCACTTATTTCGCTAAAATTTTTAGCCAGATGCTCAAGTTCGTGTACATAAATAAACCGACTACTATAAACAGTAACTGGTATGCCACTCCAAATTTTATCTACAATGTTACCGATTTTAGTACGCTAGGATTACCGAACTAACATTGAAAATTGGATATCATCGCCTAAAAAAATGATGATTCAGGTATAAATACACTACAACTGCGTTCGGACCACATACACCGTCGCTTGAATGCTATCTACTCTCGTGTATCAAATTCATACAAAGGCTCAGAGAGAGCACCTGTTGTGTATTATGTATGATACACATAGGAGTCAAAGTGTTAAAGAGTTTAATAGAAGTTTAAACACAACAACTCACAGTCAAATATATCGGTGCATTTTTCTTCTTCGCGCGAATCCCTATATTTTGCAATATCGAATTATTTAAGTTTGTTACTAAAATAGTCTTTTCAGTTTTTCTGCACTCATTGCTCTCATGTCTTCATTCGACTTTCCACTTTTCTGTCGAATTTCGTTTATTCTACATATCCATTTTTCCTTGGTTTGCCTTTTTCTTTTGTTCTTGTTCTCCTTGCTTCTATTATCCTTTTAATATTTTTTTAGTAGAGGTTCTTGATTTAATTCTTTTCTACTTTATTCATTTATGGATTTATTAATTTTCTTTCCAGAAATCCTTCCAAAATACTTCATTTCCGTAGCTGTTATTTTTGTTTCATGTTTTGAAGCAAGAAAGCAGTTTAATTGAAACCAGCCTGTGAGAAATGTGTTTCGAAGCAAGCTAGCAAAATTGAACCTAGCTAGTGAGAAATGTTCACCACTATTAATTACGATCGGGTGTAACAATTCATTGGAGCGAGGTGTGTTAACTCATGTAAAAACAGGAGTCACCCCACCGCGCTCCAATGCTCCAGACCATCCCTTTCCCCCCTATGCTCTACTCCACATGCCCTAATGCTCTTCATGTCGAGGTCCTGGGTAATAGAACCCCAACATGGTTTCCTAACTGATTTGCAAAAACTCAGGACAGCGCATGGTCGCTATATTCCTGATGTCTTAATGTGGCTTATCCGCGAACTAAAATTGCTTACTTGGGCCTCAAGTCTTCGCTCTGAGCCCCGGCTAAGTTCGGCGACTTGGTGCTCAAGGGATTGGGCCCTACGTGTCCGGGTTTTGGGGTTTTGTTATTTTTTTTGGGTTCTCGTCGGTTTTTGTTAGTAATTTTGTAATTTTTTTTAGGTGACCGAATCCGGTTATTCGTGTTTTTTTTGTAGATTTTTTTTGTAGGTGGCCCCGTAACAAAAAATCAGAATTTGTTTAAAATCTATATAATAATAATGAAAAATATATAGAATATAAAACAATACAACAATATAGAGTTTATCCTCATTTAGGCAACCGGGCCCACTCTGTGCTTAGCGATGTCCTGGGTGTTTTTGAGCTACGAACTGTCTTCATTGTGCTTTTTTGTTGATATTTTTGGAATTTCTTCTTTCTCTGGGGTTTTTGAGGATTCGTTTCCATCTGGGGTGTCTTCATTTTTGCTTTGTCTATGTTTTAGTCACATATAAAGACCGTTTTAAACTTTCTACAGGTATAATAAATAAATAGATGGAAATTTCTGAACATACTAGCATATAAAAGCTTAAAAAATTAAAAAATATATATTTACGGAACGCTTTGACTTTTAGATCAAAAGCCATATTAGAAAATCTCTACAAGGTCATAGCGTCAAACAAAGATAACTAATAGTTGTGTTTTTTTAGGGAAATTGCCTTGTCCACGGACTTTACTTGGAAGGAGCTTCCTGGGATGTCGAAAACAATTGCCTCAAACAATCAGCACCCAAGGTATTGATCGAGAAGCTGCCAGTTTTGGCAGTAGTGCCCATCGAAACCTACAGACTTAAGTTGCAGAATACTTTCAGAACACCTGTTTATACGACTTCCCAACGAAGAAACGCTATGGGTGTAGGATTAGTTTTCGAAGCTGATTTAAGAACTACTGACCATATTAGCCACTGGGTACTACAAGGAGTTTGTTTAACATTGAATACAGACTGATTTAGATTTATAATGTATTTTTACTTTTATCTATTTGAACAAAAATGTTTAATATTTGAGTGTTAACATTTTAACATAATAATATAAATGATTATAATAGAAGGTAGTTTATATTTGCTATAAAATAATATTGCAGTCCGGTTCTGATAAACGCACCGTAGACTCTGTTTAATGACAGCTCCAAATAAATCTAGTTCTATTATATTAAACATCCATAGTACACTGAATGAAGGTAAAAGTCAACTATTACCTCCGAATTCGGTGAACCTCCATCGATTTGCACGAAAATTTGGCATTGAGTATATTTTACCCACAACTTCAAAAGTAACATATTATGCTTAACTTGCGCTTTTTGCATTTTAAATAAATAAATATTTTGCAACATTTATAAGCATGATTTATGATTTTAATTAATTGTTCAACCCTTTTAGCAACTATGCCTTAAATCGAAAATCATAAAAAACATCATTTTTTATATTTCTCAAATATCAAATCGCATATTAATATTACCCAAATAGTTTCTTTAATGTTTATGATATAACTTTCGATTGACGTGATATATTAAATTTCAACATGATATTTCAAATTTCAACATAATTGACATGATATATTATGATATATTAAATTTCAACCCATAAAAACCACCCCCTTAAAGCAGAACCATTGAAAAAATTCCGAGAAACTTTAATTATTTGAGTAATACATTAGGTACTGAATTCAAATCTCATTTACTGAGTATTAAAGTATTTATTTATTTATTGCGTAATTTTGTACCCTTAAAAAGTACTCCTTGTCATAAAAATATTTATATTTAATAGCTTTAATCATTTAGAATTTTTTTTATTGGTTATGATAAACTTTACTAATATATTCCAAACTGTATTAATATTATTTTTTCCATATTTCATGTGTTGTGATATATCAAAAAAGGTATTTCAATACATGTAGCGCCATCTTTCTTTGTACTTTGTAAACACTTGATGTATGGCGTGTTGCCAATATTGCTTATTAAAATAAAGTAGAAGTCGTTGCTATCGAACAAAACATGGCGTTTATTATTTCAATGTACCCCAGAAAATCCTCACTTCCACTATAATTTTCAAGAGGTTATGAGCCCAGCATTCAGTTTTAAAGTTCTATAACCTGAAGGTATCAGTTGTGAGTTTTTTTGGTAACGTAGTCACGTAGGGTCGAGTGAAATTCGCAGTTTGTTTTGTGGACTGAAAATGGCGGCTACGAATTATTTAGCCAGTGTGCCAAAATTAATGGGTCGCGAGAACTATGATGATTGGTCTTTTGCGATTGAAAACGTTTTTGTGCTTGATGGTTTATCGAAATGCCTGGAAGAAAATGGTGAAACAAATGCAGACATGCAGAATAAAGCGAGGGCAAAGCTATGTTTATCCATTGATCCATCCATTTATGTGCATATTCGAGAGGCGACAACGGCGTTGGATGTGTGGATAACATTAAAAAAACTGTATGGTGAGAAAACTTTTACACGAAAAATTGATTTACTTAGAACTCTCATAAGTTTACGGTTGGATAATTGTGACAGTATGGAGAATTATATAGCGCAGATGATTGAAACAGCCCAGAAATTAACTCGGAGTGGATTCGAAATTACTAGTGAGTGGATTGGTTCGTTGTTGCTTGCAGGATTGCCAAACAGATTCACCCCAATGATAATGGCCCTGGAACACTCTGGAATTCAAATTACAGGGGATGCAATAAAGTCCAAGTTAATTGATATGCAGAAAGATGGAGCTGGTAGGAACGCGGGCAGCGAGAAATCTACTGGTAGTGCTTTTGCCAGTCAAGGCAAGTTCCGAAAACATCCCAAAGACGGCGCTGGCAGTGTTAGAAATGACAATAAAGAACATGTGATTTGTTTTGGATGTAAACAAACAGGTCATTACAAAAACAAGTGCCCAGTTTTGAAAAGGGATTTTGAAAGTTTTCGAAAACAGCAGAGAAAACCGGAGGATAAGAGTGCTTTTAGTGCGGTCTTTTTAAATGGTGAATTTAACAATTCAGATTGGTATATTGACTCTGGAGCAAGTGTACATTTAACTTCAAGAAATGACTGCATAAAAAATGCATCCCAGGATATACAGCTCAAAGAAATTTTAGTAGCCAACAATGAAAAAATGCCAGTGTTGTGTGTTGGAGAAGTAGAGTTAACTACAGTAAGTAGCAATAAAAACTTTGACATTGTAGTTAAAAATGTTCATTATGTACCCAATATTACAACCAATTTACTGTCAGTTAGCCAGTTGATTTTAAATGGTAACAGGGTTGTTTTTAACCAGAAAGGTTGTGAGATTTTTAATAGTAAAGGTACAAGTGTGGCTACAGCTGATTTAATTAATCAAGTTTATAGACTTAATTTTGTTAAGACTCAGCCAGTGGCGTTCTCTATGTATGCTCAGGACTGTTGTGATTTGTGGCATAGACGTTTTGGTCACATCAACTTTAGAGATTTGAGTATAATGAGGGATGGAGCAGTTGAGGGCTTGAATTATAAAGGGCGGGCAAGTTTGCATAATCTGTGTCAAGTGTGTTGTGAGGGAAAGCAGACTCGGTTGCCATTCAAGAGTAGTGGAAATAGTGCTGCAGAATTGCTCGAGGTTGTGCATGGTGATTTGTGTGGTCCCATGGAGATGATGTCCATCGGAGGATCTAGATATTTTTTGGTTCTTGAAGATGACTTGAGTAAGATGGTTTTTATTTATTTTTTAAAATACAAAAATGAAGCTCTAGATAAGTTTAAAGAATTTAAATTGCTAGTTGAGAACCAAAAAGGACACAAAATCAAATGTTTTAGGTCTGACAACGGTGGAGAATTTTGTAGTGCTGACTTTGAATCCTTTTTAAGTAGTAATGGTATAACACATCAAAAAACAAATCCTTACACCCCAGAGCAGAATGGTACTTCGGAGAGAATGAACCGTACCCTGGTGGAGAAGGCGAGGTGCTTACTATTCGATGCAGATTTTCCTAAGCAGTTTTGGGCCGAAGCCATCAATACTGCTGCATACTTAAGGAACAGGTCTGTAGTCAGGGGTCTTGAAGGTAGAACACCATATGAACTCTTCTATGGTAAAAAGCCAGATGTGAGCCATGTTCGAATCTTTGGTAGTGAGGCAATGGTTCATATACCCAAAGAAAAAAGGCAGAAGTTTGACAAAAAGGCAGAGAAGATGTTCTTGGTTGGTTATGGTCAAAATGTGAAGGGCTATAGGCTCTATGATCCCATTAAGAAGAGTGTAATTACCAGTAGAGATGTGGTCATTAATGAAAAACCAAAACTGTTAAAAAACTTTGATTTTTTAGGATCACCAAGCAATGATATTGCTGTGACAGAGGTATTACCTCAAGTGGGGGATCCAGACCAAGGTAAATTCCCAGATAAACTCTCAGATGAGGAAGAATACCATGATGTTTTGGATGATGACCTTGGAGATTATTCAAATGACTCAGAGTTTGTTCCAGATAAAGTGATCACACCAGAAATACCAAGTACACCAAGACGATCCGACAGAACCAAGAAGCCTAAGGTTTTCAAAGACTATGTGACATTTCAATGTCATAAGAAGCAGGAAGTAGATCTGGAAGATATCCCATCCAGTGTGTCAGAAGCTCTATCCAGACCAGACTCGGCCAGATGGAAGAGGGCCATGGATGAAGAGATGCTATCTTTTGCAGAAAATGAGGCATGGGAGTTGGTCGATACTCCAAAAAGTGGAACTTTGGTTGAGTGCAAGTGGGTTTTTAAAACCAAAGTTGATTGTGATGATCAGGTATGTTATCGGGCTCGTTTAGTGGCTAAGGGGTACACTCAACGTGAAGGTGTGGACTATGAGGAGACATTTTCTCCTGTAATAAGGTATTCAAGTTTACGATTGTTATTAGCCTTATCTGTAAAGTTAGATTTAGATATTATTCACTTGGACGTGAAGACAGCTTTTTTAAATGGTGACTTGCAAGAAACAGTGTTCATGCGTCAACCAGAATGTTATGTTCTTGAAGGTAATGAAAATAAAGTTTGTCATTTAAAAAAGGCCATTTATGGATTAAAGCAGTCTTCTCGAGCCTGGTATCAAAAAGTGAATGAAATTTTGATTAGCCTAGCATTTAATAAATCAGATTATGAGTCATGTGTCTATATTAAAAAAATTGATAAGAGTTTAGTTGTAGTGGCTCTATATGTTGATGATTTTATAGTTTTCAGTAATGATAAGGTCCAAACTGATTTATTAAAGGCAGAATTATGTTCAAAATTTAAAATTAAAGACTTAGGTCAGTTAAAATTGTGTCTTGGTATGAAGATTCATAGGGATAAAGATACTATTAGATTAGACCAGAGTGCATATATTGATCAGTTATTAAGAAAGTTTAATATGGAGGAGTGCAATGTTGTCAGCTCACCAATAGATAATTTTGATTTTACTGAAAGTAATTGCTCAGAAATAGTTGAAAATCCATATTATCAAAAATTAATTGGTAGTCTAATGTTTTTAGCAGTTTTGACAAGACCAGATATTGCATATAGTGTAAGTTTTTTGAGTCAATTTAATAAAAATCATAATGAGTATCACTGGAAATGTGCTAAAAAGATATTGAGGTATTTGAAGGGGACTAAAGACATTTGTTTGACTTATAAAAGGGATGATTTGGATTTAACAGGGTTTGTTGATGCTGATTGGGCCTCAAATAAGTTAGATAGAATATCTTACACAGGTTTTGTTTTTAAACTTTCAGGTGGTGCGATTTCTTGGAAGAGTGTTAAACAGAAATCAGTGGCTCTTTCTAGCACTGAAGCTGAGTATGTAGCTTTAGGGGAGGCTACTAAGGAAGCCATTTACTTGAGAAATTTGTTGTCGGAAATTCAAGGAAGACTGGATTCAGTTGTTTTGTATAATGATAATCAAGGGGCTCAGAAGTTGTGCATAAATCCAGTATTCCATGAAAAAACAAAACATATTGACATTCGCCACCATTTCATCAGAGAGGCTATCCAAAATAATGTTATTGAGTTGAAGTATTTGAGTACTGATGAAATGTTGGCTGACATCCTTACTAAAGGGTTGAAAAATGTTAAA